TCTATAAACTATCTCCTTCCTGCATCAAATGGCTCTGATTGTGCACATTCATAAAACGAAATTTGACACGGGAATGCCTCAATACAATTCTCGATTTGCTGTTACATGAGTATATACATAATTAGTACATTTTTAAGATATCAGAACACTTAGAATATTAATTATTTAATAACTTTATCAGCCTGGAACGCCTAAGGTGATTCACGGATGGATAGTTGAGTCCTAATTATTGCCAAACTTTCCTCCAAAAGTCCATTACATCCGGCGCAAATTTTAGTTTTATGTCGCCTCAACTGGTCCCATCCGCACTCCAACGGGATTCGAGCCTGGTTCGTGCGTTTCGTGACAACTTCACCACTCCAATACTTACCAGCCACAAGTAGCATCGAGACACAGGGCACATTTGGCAGGCAAGACGAGCAAAGCCTGCCCAAAATGAACACTTTTATTTATGAGGGGTATTCACCCTATTTTGTTTAAGGTGATGAAGAACTGGTGGTATAACTTTCGCATAATCATGTGAGTAGAGCTGACGTTTCCATTGAATTGCACATTGTCCCAAAAGGTGTTCTCATTCAGGCACCAGTGGACTACAGTTTCGATCTCGCATAAGTATTATCAATACCCTCAACGGGAGTCGAACCATGACAGGACAATCCACCCTGGATGATAACAACTTTCACATCAGCTCTACCCACAAATAACACCGACTAAGTGACGCCACATTCAGATTCGAAAGCCACACATACACAAGAGCCAATAGGTCACAGGGCATATGTGACTTTCACCGCCGGCAAGCGTCTCCCAAATCACACATATGTAGTAGGACAATTATGATTAAGGTGATGCACTATTTGAATCACATTTTCAACGTTACTTATATACGTTATCAGTAGTGCAATTAGATCCTTTAAATTCGAATTTTCTAATGGGAAACCCAACTACTGTACTGTACTAATGGGATCTGATCCGTAATGCTCGCAATTAAATTCTAAACTCCGAGTTCCCGTTTAAAGATTGAGCTGGAAGAGTACTCTTCAAGCTAAGATCGCCATTTAACAGTTTAAACCGACATGAGACTCAATCTTTCTAAAAACCGATCATAGCGTTTAGAGCGAAAGAGGGCAATAAAAGTTGCTATCGTGTTCCCCTCAATCAGGCCGCATAAATTCAAGATGAAAAACATTACTAGGAAATAAGGATCTTTTGAAGGTTCACTAATTTTTTTTTATAACTGGGTTTTGCCGACTACCAGTAGATATTATGCATTAAATATACTGATTTACGATAAGAAAGGAGTGGTAATTGAATTATCCCACAATTATAAGAAAA